AAATAAAATTTTGTTTACATTATTTTGTTCGTTTATCATTCTCATTCTATACATATATAGACTTATAAGTTGACTGAATTCTTCCCTGGTAATTCAATCTGAATAATGTTTATTTAGAATATTTCCGTAATCTAATTTTTCTCGTTTTTTTTTGTTATCCGGTAAATCACAAAGGTACACAAGCTGATACGATATATTGACTAACGGAATCTTCCACAGACCAATAATGCCATATAGACTATAAAAACGTAGGTGAATCAATATGTCAGTACAATTTTTAATATCATATATAGGTTAAAAATGATTCGAGTCCATATTATCCTTACTAATCCTTCTCCCTTCTCTCTCTTTCTCTCTCTATTTATCTATACTTCACAAAAGTATAGACAAATAAACCTCATCAATATTCATTAACTTGATATGCTATCCTAACCTTAAAACTTTAATCTATGTATGTCAATATCCTTTTTATTTAGAATGAATATACTTATTACACGTGATTGTCATTCCACTTGAAAATTCAATATCCCTTTACAGAAATAAAAATGAAATTCATTCTTAATAAACATTCCGTTGTTGTTGTTGTTGTCGTCGTCGTTATCGTTGTTGTATTTAACTTTTCTAGATTAGCCATTTACTATTTCCGATTAATTTATTCTCTGTCGCTCTATCTCTCTCTCTCTCTCTCTTGTAATTTAATGTCACGCCATGAGATCAGAGTTGAATTTTTAACACTGTGCTATTGCCTCAGTGCGTGCATACCCGGATGCATTTGGGCATACACACAAATACTTCAGTTGTAATGTTGGTAATTTCTATCATATTATCTATAACCCGTTATATGAATTCTCTGTATATATACATATCAACAATCAGGCATAAAGATTATGTTAATTTTTCTTCATTCAATGATGCAAACTGATTTAACAGAAAACTATTAATTCTCTATGTTTACTTTGATTCAAAGTGAAACATAAACATTGAAAGAGTGAATGAGTGAGTGAGGGAGGGAGGGAGGGAGGGAGTGAATGAGTGAGTGAGGGAAGGAAGAAGGGAGTGAAAGAATAAATGAAAAAGAGAAAATTTAAAAAGTAGATTTATTACTACCATTATTATTATTATTATTATTATTATTATTATTCAAAAGACTCTACAATAATTCTCATTGCGTGACATTCTCAATAATAGTAGAATATAATCGGAATGTATTGTAGCATTTATTTATGACAGTTAACTTTTTAATACTAAATAGATTTATATTTGATAATAATCGTATTCAGTGTTATTGTTTATTAATTATATATATATATATATAAGGATATATTAAGAAAAATTTGGAATAGGGGTAATATTTATGTAACTTATTAATTAGTACTACTGAGGAAGTTTATATTAAGACGAAACGGCCATTCAGTGCTTTCATGATTTCAATAGTGGTGGTCTAGCTTAGTTCAACTCATGAATAAAACTTTAAACATACTTCAATCTTCACAAACCCCTATTCTGATTATAAATTTGTATATGTTTTCTTTTAGAATCATCATAGACGTTAATTAACCTTCATATTCATCTACTAAATATCCAATTTTTTATTAGTTCTGTAACCATGCTTGTGAATTAAGGTAATATCGAGGCAATACGCACGGTATGCACATATACCAATTAGAGACTGACCAGTTGCAGTCCTAACAAAACGATGGGAAGATTCAAGCAATACTAAGTTGAATTTAGTTCTGTAAAATGTTATTATTTTTCGAGAACAATGAAAATTTAGATGTATTATTTATTTAAACACATAAATACTGGTACAAAGGGGCGCCAGATATATATATATATATATATATATATATATATATATATATGCGCTACACAAGTCACTTGATTTTTCCATGGGCCGTAATTTTACCCAAGTGACCAGATCGGGCCATAACCATAGCCTTCGACCTAAAGGTCTGATCCACAAGGTAGTGGAGCAACGTCAGGAGATGCATTCCCATGGTATCCGGTGACCAACAATTGGTTCACACGCCATTTGTTTATTCAGGATACTGGAGCTGATGTGCACCATTGGTTTGGAATCAGGGTTTTCTAACTCCTCTAGGTGAACTCATCGTGTTCACCAGCCTGGTTAAAACTCTGGATATTCGTTTTTCGTCCTCCCAATTTGGTAAACAACAGTACTGCAACGAGAAGGCAGTGAGTAGGACTTCCCTGGTAGAGGCTATATACGCGTGGCCATGTGAGAGCATTTGGAGAGAGAGAGCTGACTCATATCATCCTCGGCCGTACCAGGGCATTTGGGGGCTCTATTAATATGTATTAGTTGTAATCATGTCTTATTCGGTTAACAGATTACTCAACATTTGACAATTGTAACTCATTAACTTGATGGATTCTATTTATATTTTAGTATACTTAATTTTCCAATCTAAAATATATCAAATCCAAACCTACATTTGATTACGTAGATAGGAGTTGATTTGTTCACTGCTTGAATGACATGGATTACACTGTAAGTAGTTAATGCAAAATATGACTTTCTACGACTTAAACTAACAAGTATGAATTAATGATAGATAAAATACTATAATCCAGAACTTAATGTCGAGTATAATTCACTAATCAACCAAATAATATCAATTGGTTTTATGTTATTCAATTCTTGATAATGACTGAACTAGATTTTCATTGTTGCCGTTTATTCGAGTGACTTTATATTGAACTTTCTATTTACAACAGAATCCAAATTTCTTTGGCGTTACAAATATTCTTTACTGTCATAGACACCAACAAGCATGACACTTAGACCCTTAATTTTCGTAAATTTCGCTCTCCAGTTTAATAGGAATTCCTAATTGTGAAGGATTGGGATGTTATACTAATAAGAACTGAATCAATGCGAAACTTGATAGCTTGAAAGATTAACGCACAACACTTCAAAAATAATGTCTAAGGAAATAGAAGATAGAGAGAAGTGAAAAATATGGACAAATGTTGATATTTGAAAAATGAAATTTGAGGTAGTAACAATTCTTCTCAACACATAACAATAAACATAAACTCTTGACGCAACAAAATTAACAAATTAAAGATGAGAACAACCAATCGGATTTCAAAAAAGACAATCGCAGACTTATGCATTAGAAATAAGCCATTGTGTATATTGTTGTGTGCAAAAAAAGTATAACCAGATGGTGTTCTCGTGACTTTTGAGTTGCTTGATTTGCCAAGAGCGATGGGACAGTGCATAACAGTATTGTTGTGTGCTAGGTTCAAAGAGAATTGTTTGCTATATGCATGCAAATCCACCCCGTTATTGTTCCTATCCTATTGCTATTGTACGCAAAAGCTACCATTTTTTTAAACAAAAAATCCGTTAGTGATGTATATTTCTATATTATGTATAAACGTGGTCAGTGGTTCCTGATTTCAACTACGAATATTTGACAATCACCATTAAAAACCCTTTATTGATTAAATATCGTTTGAGCAATCTATTAACTATTTAGTTAAAGTTTATGTATTCTTATACAACTGAAATCACTAAAAGTCACATTGAATAGTGTAATTAATTGTAATTTTTAATTAACTAATTAATCTCTCTCTTACACTCACACTTTTTCAATTTCTTTTTTCCAAGGAATCTACATAACACATTATAATAATATTCTTGGATTCTACTACTAGCCATTATCCATCTTTGCTTATAATGCTTGTGAATTAAGGCTATATCGAGTCAATACGCACAGTATGCACATATAGCCAATAAAAGACTGACCAGTTACAGTCCTAAACATCAATGGGTAAATCCAAACAAACAATAGTAAGTGAATTCAAACTTCACCCCATTGCACAAGCAAGTGGCTATCAGGACTCATTAGCTGAGTGGATAATGCGATAGAGTTTGAAGCGAACGGTACTGGTTTCGAGTCTCAGAGTGAACATCAACTCTGAGATGCAGGTACATTCAGCTGACGAGTCCCAAATAGGACAAAACGCATGTCAAACTGGATTCCACTGCTAGCCATTATCCATCTTTGCTTATAATACTTGTGAATTAAGGCTATATCGAGTCAATACGCACAGTATGCACATATGGCCAATTAGAGACTGACCATTTACAGTCCTAAACATTAATGGGAAGATTTAAACAAACAATACCAAATGAATTTAAATATTAGATTATATTAACAATGAATGGAATAATATTGATTTCACTGAATACATTCAATAATAACAATAAATCTACAATTGCATACATATCTTTGCATATAGAGTAATTAACATCTCAAGTTAATCGTTTTTTGTTTTGTTTTTTGAAGTGAAATTATTCGGTTTTTCATTTTTTTTTCTAAAAAAAAAAACAAAAAAACAGTGCCAATGGTTACAGCTTTTTTTTTCCTTTTTTTTCCCTAAAATCGATAAAATTAATATCAGTATCATTATATGGAGTGAAAAAACAAAACAATGTTGTTTACACCCCTATTAAATCAATAAATCAATTGTTTGTTTGTTCAACAAATTGAGAGTACATTTTCTTGTTTCAAAATAAGAAATGCTTATGATGGCCAATTGGGAAGAGACAAAAAGTATCTGGTTAAAATATTTGTTTATATTTATATATTACTTAATCTAGAATGTATTTAATTAATAAGTAGTATTGTCACTGGTTTTATTTAGTTGATTAAAAAGAAGAAAAGTAAAAAAAATTTTAATAAGAAAGAAGGGGTGTAATATAGAGAGATTAGAATTATCAATGAAATCAATCAATTAATAAACACATCACAGTAGTATATATTTTTTTATTATTTATAATCATCATATTACTACCATTATGATTATTATCAGTAGTATAGATATGATGCTTATAATAAAAGTATAATAATCTAAGATAATGCATAAAAAATATTATTTTTTGTTAAATGTGCGTTTTTTTTCGTTGGTATGTTCTCCTCCTCCTCCTCCTCCTCCTCCTCCTCCTCCTCCTCCTCTTCTTCTTCTTCTTCTTCTTCTTCTTCTTCTTCTTCTGAATACATTTCAGATGTATAATGTTGAAGATGGAACTGATGAATTTGAATTAATGGATAATATTTCTGTATTTCGTGAAGTATCTAGAATTTTAGACATTAAAAATGATAAATTTCTTTCATTTTTATTGTTATTATTATTGCTGCTATTACTACTACTGGTAGAAGTAGCAGTAATATGGTTGATCGATTTCATATTTTCAGTAAGATGATAATTATTTGATAAAGAAGTATTCACTTTCACCGTATCTAAAAATGAAACCGGTAGACAAGGTGGTGGGACAAATAAATTGTTAGTATTCATTGTTGATTGTTTAACGGATGCTATATGATCAGTGTAAGATAAAACTGATGTTGGGAATAGGTTATCTTTGTCACTTATATTACTACTCTCAGTAACTGTAGTTAAGTATTTATAGGATCCAGAAGTGAATGGAGGTTTCAGCTGACTTTTCTCACACATCATAATATTATGATCATTATTAAGATCGTTAGAAAAATGTTTCAACTGTGAATCAATATTAAATGGAACATTTTTACTAGTTGAATAATATTTATTATTATTATTATTTTGTAACAATGGAAGTAAATAATGAATTGAAGAATTGATTGTTTTATTGGATAATTTATTCAACTGATGTAAACTGGTATACTTTAATCTTTTTCGAATACGATCAGTATTTCTTGTTGTAGATGTAACTGTCATATCTTTATTTGTTGTTATTAAAGGATCTGTTGTTGTTGTTGTTGTTTTGGTCATTACCATTGTATGAATTGGAGAAATACGTGATTTAAATTTTCTATGATTGTTTAATTTATAGTTTATAGAATCACTTTGATGTCTTTCATTTTCTACAATTTCTGTTGACAGTCCAGATGAAGATCCAGATGTAGCTGTCGCCGCTGCTGCTGCTGCTACTAGCCAAGATTGTATAAATTTTCCAGGAGAATTTTGTTTTAACATTTGTTTATGACGTGTAGCAGTATGTGATCCAAATATATGTTTTGCATGCATACATTTACGCATATGTTTTTCCAATGTTGAAGGTACTATAAATGGTGTATGACAATATTTACACAAATATCTTGGTTTACCATCTTTTCCATGCGTTTTCATATGTCTTGTCAATTTGGATGATTGTGCACAAGCATAATTGCATAATTTACATTGATATGGTTTTTCACCTGTATGACTACGTCTGTGTACAGTCAAATTACTACAATTTTTAAATATTTTACCGCAATATTCACATGTATCATTACGTTTATTATCACGTTTTAATGTCACTGAACCGCTGGGATTATCCAGCGGTATAGATACTGACCGACAGAATTTTGTCTGCGGCGATAATACCGATGCTGTTAAAGAGGGCATCATATTCGAGAACGGCACAGGGATGTTTGGTGATGACGATGATGACGCTGCCGATGGTGACGATAAAGATGGTAGTCTTTTTGAAGGTGAATATTGACGTGGTTCTAAAATTCTATCACTATTTGTTTTACCATCAATATTATTATTACACACTCTGACAACAGGTGACAGACGCAATGAATGTAAGTCTCGGTGTAATCGAGTGCGTTTATTCATTCCCGGAGGATTATGTATATTACTAATATTATTATCCGACTGATTTATGAAATATTGTTTATCCGATGGTACTATGTGTTGCTCATTACTAATATGATTAATTTCAGTAGTACTTAAACTACCAGTAACCGGAAAAGGAGGTGTTCTCACAAATAAATCTTGATAATTTGTAGTTTTTACAATATTTCTCATTTCAGTGTTATTGTTAAAAGGTTTATAATTATAAAACTTATTTTTCTGTTGAAGCAAAGTATTAGGTGTCAAGAGAGAAGTCGTCGTATAGTTCTTATTACAGACTAGATCATTTTGAAGATTAATTAAATTCCCAAACTGTACCTTTTCTGGTACATGAAAAGTATTCAGTTTTTCACTAATTTGTTGAATATTATAATAATTACTACTACTAATACTACTACTAGTAGTAATAGTAGTATTAGTAGTATTCTTAATAGGATTACCATTTTTTAATCTATCATAATTTTCTAAAGTATTCGGATCATTCTCTGTTTGAAATGGTTTTCTATTAGACTTTTTTCCATAGTTTTTAGAATGATCAATGTAATTCATTGTATTATATTGTGTAACAGGTGATTTCAATGAATCAGTAGTAAGGTTATTAAAATGGCCATTATTATTAGTATTGACATTCAAGAGGTTTGATTTCGGTTGAGAATATACACATGATTGTGAATTATCAGTTGTAGTCATTGTAGTAGTAGTAGTTGTTGTTGTTGTAGTATTCATTGGATCCCTATAATTAATAGGACAATTGTTCATTGTTGATATTTGATGTTGAATATAATAACGCATTAATTCTTCATAATAATATGCCCAATAATAATGTAGAAATGTTTCACGTATTGGAGTCTGTATTGATTTATTATTATTATTATCCTCAGGAATATTGTTCACTTCATTCATCTGATTAGTGCATTTCCTAGGAAGTGATACTGGTGTTTCAGTACAAATTCTATCATTTATTGAATGATTGTCATTATTTACATTATATTGATTATATTCAATAGATTGATTCTGAATAAAATGTTGTTTTAATGAATCAAATAGTAATGAAGTAGATGTCGGACAAGATGAAGACATTTTCAATGGATAATGATGATAACATTGATGATACAATGAATTAGGCTTATTTAATCTTTTAAAGTTATTTTGTTTATCCAATAATAATGAATCATAACTTGTACTACGGAACTTTAAAGTTTTAGAAGGATTATTTGAGTACCATGATAATGATGATGATGATGATATTGAGGAGGAGGAGGAGTTAGAAATGATTATTGATGGACAACTATTACATCGGTTTAATGAATATACATTTGTTGATGAGCTTTGACACTGATTATTATCATTATAAATGGTTGATTTATTTCTATTTAATGATAAAGTTTTCTTTTTATTATTATGTTCATAAACTTTTGAACTTTGTATTTTAGATTGACCGAGATTATTGGAATATTGAACAACGTTGGTCACATGGTCAATCGGATTAATATTGATTTTATTTGAATGTATTGAAGTGTATGGTTTATTGAATACATTAACTAATTTGTTTCTTTCAATATCTGATGGAATTGAATAAGGGGAATATCGTGGTTTATTCAACAGACTATGATTATTATTAGTATTGTCATTGGTACTATACAGTATTTTATTTGATAATTTTGAATACATTAAATTATATAATTGAGTATAAAATGATCGGTTAATAGATGCTTCATTGTCTTTGACAAATGGTTGTACATTTACTTGTACTGGATTACTACTAGAAGATTGTTTTATTGATGTATTATAAGATTGTTGTGATAGATTTGAATATTTACTGATGGTTGAAAGATCTTTATGAGTACTAGAAGGTTTAATAATATTTTGTGTTTTATTTATTGGTGATGGAATGGAAAAAGCTGATAGATGATGTTGTTGAAATAATAAATTTGTAAAAGAAGAATATTCGTTTATTGGATTAGACTTTTGACTCTTCATTGAAACTGTAATTTTTCTATAAAGAAAAGAAAACGCTGTGAATTAGTAATGATAATAATGAAACTATGAAATGATTCCATAATGACATACATTAATGGGTAAAATTGTTATTCTATTTATAAACTGATTTTTTTTCGGGGGGTGGTGGTGTTATAATTCTCGGAACTTTGTTGCTGAACCGAAACTTTTTATAAATATGAGAAACGTTGTAAATTTTTAATAAATCAAAGCATTTTCTAACTATTATAACTCGACAGGCTGGAAGGAATTTAGGAGTAAAAACCGAAATATATCATCAGTCCATGGAGTCACTGACAGTTGGATTGAGCCATGTTAACAAGGGTAGACTGTTTGGTGGGGGGGTCTGTGCGATTCACGTATCCAACAGTTGGATACTCTGAATGGCATGATTCGTAATCGTTTGAAATGGGGCGGGTTCTTCGTGGGGGGTTTTAGATCTTAAGTTCTTAAATTTCTCACGAATCCTGGAATTTATTTTTATTCCACTAATTTATCATTTTTCCCGGAACTTTGTTTTTGATGTCTAATTTTTTGTTACCACTAATACTTTGACTACCTTTACTATTCTGTGATTTAATCTTGCTAAATTAATAAGGAATGGCAAATCAAACCAGTATACAAATGCACCAGGTTCTAAGTTGTATTTGACTGACAATTTTAACTGTGACAAAATATTTCTACTGTTAATCAAACAAAGCTGATGTTGCCCAATTCAGTGAAGAAAATATAACTGTAAATAAAAAATTTTATTATGCACTAACCACAAAATTTACAAAGTGATCAACAGTTACATCAACACATCATAAGTTATATAAGGTTTACCTATCTGATCAATAGACATATTTGAATGTATTGAAATGGCTAATATTTGGGATATGTACAATTTACAACATCGATAAATTGACCTCTTTTAATATACAAAAATAACTAAATTTTTGGATTATATGTTTCCTCCTTTCTAACACTAACTGAGTGTAATTAAGTTGAGACGATTATGATGTGAACTAGAAGAAAATCAAAGTCTTTATAGGTTTAGATGTGCCTAATAGAGTTTGTTGATGATATAAATGTTCTCAACAATGTTCTATTAGAACGGAGAAATATCAGTGTTATTTAAGTAATTACAATCGATCTCACTCAATGATATGATAATTAACACTATTGTCGAAATTTATGTGTGAAACAGTGGGTTAGTTAATTAATTAGTAGTCAGTCACTAAGTACCGGGTTCGAGTTCCACTCTACCTATTTCGTTTAGGCAACTGGATAAGGTCACTAGCCCTCGTAGTTAAAGTGTGAACAGTAGCTTCAAGTAAGTACCTAGTGAATTAGTTAATAAAAAGAAATAACATACGTTTCAGTGAAGAAATGCTTCTTTTTCAAAGATGTAGTTTACTCAGACTGTACAGTTGTATTTATAGTAGTAGTAGTATGGTAGTAGTTCGTTAAAACAATAGGAAAAGGATTACATAATAAATTATTTGGGAATCTAGGGCGTTATAAGAGGGTTTAGTTATGAACAACAAGTTAGAAACTGATAAGATGAAGCCAAAATATGTGAAAGATAACTGTCCAGTAGACAAGTGTGAGAATGATGGAGTATTCACAACTGATTGATTAGCTACCAGTGTCAGGTGTGTCAAGTTCTCCTAAGTACCGATCGAATTTCATCGATCAGGCTGGGATGTGGTCACTAATCTAACTAACTCAAAATCGCATGCACTATGCTGAGATTTAACATGACGGTTGGAGATAGTCAACAGGCAGAGTAAGTCTTCTCAAGATTATAGATACACCTTGCTGACGAGTGTCAAATAACATGAAACCTAGGTCAAGCAACGTTTCCTGTTGACTACCTCCAACCACTATCTTAAAGGTGAGAAATAAGTTCGTGAAAGAAACATGAAGCATATAATAACAAATAATCAAGAAACTAAATGGTCATATCAAAAACTAATTAACCGAGTATGAAAAACTAATTATTAACGGCATGGTAAAATAAGGGCTTGGATATATCGCTTCTGTACACAATTTTCTGGTTTGAAAGGAATTGAAGATAGAAGTTATCTAAGAGTTGACCTATACTTGTTAGAATTTACTTATACTGAATATGAGCTGAACACAGAATATTAGACTGATGTTCACTTTCTGAAAATATATTTTACGGCCATATCTTTGTGATTGTTATCCTCCATAACTAATAATAGTCTATTTTATTTGTCAGTGGTTCATTATCTATAACAACTTATTGTCAACCATTTGACTGTAGAATAAAATTTCTCCTCTCTTAAATTTGATTATTACAGTTTTGTTTTCTGAGCTCAGAAAACAAAATTAGAACCGTACACCATTCAGTATCGACTCAGTGATTTAGAGACTGAGCGTTAGCATGCGAGTTCGAAGGTCTCGAGTTCGATACCCAGATGCGGGGTCGCGAATTCGCACTAGTGATGAGTCCCATACAGGGACAATAAGGCCATCCTGTAGTTCCAGTCTTTCAATGATTATCTAACTTAGATCAATTCAGGATTTCAATAAAATTCAACAACCTCCATAATCCTATACTGTTAATCTTTACAGTCTAGTAATATCACTAGTGTTTTCATGAAATACCGCCGAAAAAATGATTCAAATCCAACTGGATTACCTAGTTAAATATATTATAATAGAAATTTGTTACTTCCTGTACTATTTCTCGGTTATTTTCTTGATTCACTCTATTTATTTATTTATCTTTCTCTCCTATTTTCTTTTTGTCTAGGTCATAATATTGTTGTTTACCGATGTTAAGTAGTCCTCTCTCTCTGTCTTTTATTTATTTTATTGTTATTGTCGATGATGTTGATGACGATGACGATGATGTTGACAATTTTGATTATGACGAATGTGAAATTTTCATGCTTTCAACCAATTTTTATCTATTTAACAAAAAAATATGTTGAAAATTTACGTATGAACATCAGATTTCGGTGGAATTAGGTCACATAACAATATCCTTTACCTACCCCATATACACACGCACACATGTGCACACTAAATACGCATAAAAAAACGATATGAACAGATTACAAACAAACTTAAATGTCGGTAATGTCTATGACAAGGGTAGATAATGATGATAACTAGATACTTGGAAAATACTCCAAGGTAGATGCATGATCGTATAATAATATACTTATCAATATCATCAAGTTTATTATTATCATTATTGGGTCAGTAAAGTTTTATGAATAGAAACTGTACTACTTATATCAGCATAATCAGTAGGTTAACTAAAAAAGAAATTATTACTATATATGTTATCTATGAAAAATGACAAAACGAAAAGCTACAACATATGGATAAACAAATAACTAAATGAAATTGGGAGTTTGCTTTTTTCAGACTTATACACGGTCAAATGTCTCAAGGAATTTGGCAAATTTTTCATTCAGAGGGGTTTGTGGAGTATTTAGTATTTTCATAGTTGAAATCATGAGTCAATTGAAACTAGACCACCATCGAAAACCGGGAAGCACTAGACGGCCAACTCGTCCTGTTACGGGACTCCTCAGCAATGAGTATCCACGATCCTGCGCTCGCGAGATTCGAACCCAGGACCTACCAGTTACGTGCCAGAGCACTTAACCGATAGACCACTGAGCTTGCCGGCATCCAACGGTGTTAATGTCTAACTTCAACCAATCCACTATTTTGAGCGACCGTCCACCAATGTCTGCAGTGAGTTGATATCTTCCCACTAGAACTCAAGGAAATATCTCTTGAAGTCAGCCACTAGTGAGCATATGATTATAGATTAGAGGGGGTTTGTGGAGAATTTAGTATTTTCATAGTTGAAATCATGAGTCAATTGAAGCTAGACTGCTGATGAATCCCATAATAAGACGAAACGGCCGTCCATTTCTTCCAGGTTTTCGATGGTGGTTTAGCTTTAATTGACTCATGATTTCAACTATGAAAATTCTCCATTCAACAAAAATACTTTTCTAAAAACTAATTAAATTAATTTTATACCACTCAATTTTGAATATACAATCTGAACCCTTTTAAGTAGTGAGATATAAACACAGATATATAGTAAGGCAAACCTGCAGTTAAATATGGTAAAGAGACAACTTTTCGTCGATAACTATCTATAGATTATGGATATCAATGAAGTCTTGAATATGGGTTTTGGTCTGTTTGTACATACACAAATTCCAGTGTTAGTATTCACATTGGGAATCGAACCCAGTATCTCTCCATTTAAGTGACAACTCATTATCGCTTGAGACAAGATAATCGCTAACCTACTCTATATGTATGGTATTAATAAATTAAGAATAATTACATATAAATCAAGATAAAAACGTATGTCCAGGATTCAGGTGTCAATCGCAATCCACGTATTCCATATATTTTAAAATTTGTTACAAAATAACCATATCAGGACGGTCCACTGAGGATGTGCATAAAATAATATAAGTTAATCAGAAAAGAATTTTGAACATCAACAATGGGGTAATACAAACTCCTATTAATAAACCCTACACTGGACTCTTCCTTTTTACATTGGACAATAAACAGCATCATGTTTGTTGAATTAGAATAAATAGGGTTTAAGTCAATGAGTTTAATCTAGCTGTCACTATTTTTCTATAATATAAAGCCATTGAATTTTTCATACTTACAAATTAAAGATCTACATTGCCCAAATTGTGAAGTTTTCTGTGTAGAACTTAATTTTTATTGTGAGTATATACGAATATATGAAGTTTTATGGCGGGAAATATTAATGACATTTCATATTTTACATCAAAGATTGTTTTTACTTAAATAAATACTGAAAATCAAGAAGCGCAGGACTAGTGTTTCATCCCAAGATGCACCTATAACATAATCAGAAGTCAAAATCAAGGACTTCAAACATCATCGTAGGCTGTTAACCATTAGACCACCGTCCAGTGTTTCACAATTTCCAATGATTATCTAACTAAAATCTATCTGTAATGTAAA